CCTCTTTCCTCTCCCCGTTCTCACCCCCCCCACCCCCCCCAGCCTGTCCCCATGGCAGAGGGGCTCCAGCCCTCGGAGCATCTTTCTGGCCTCCTCTGGACTCGCTCCAAACGATCTATATCCTTCTTATGCTGAAGGCTGAACAGTTGGACGCAGCACTCCAGGTGGGGTCTCACCAGAGCAGAGTACAGGGGCAGAATCCCCTCCCTCGACCTGCTGGCCACGCTGCTCTGGATCCAGCCCAGGATACAGTTGGCTTTCTGGGCTGCCAGCGCACACGGCCGGCTCATGTCCAGCTTTTCGTCCACCAATGCTAGCTTACTCCCATGTTCTCTTTAGCTTCCTTGCTTTTCTCTTTCTACCTCCTCCAATTTTTCCTTTCCGGAATAAATCTGACACTAGAATGCTGAACATAACCCAAACTGTGCTGCATGGGCTTGTGGCTGGGGTTAGATTCCTGTCTGTCCTTTGTTTAGTAGGACAGGCACAGCCTATTGCTTATGGGTGCCTTGTCTGGGTTGATAAAATATGTAACATCGGCATAGATTTATTGTTATTTGTTCCCAGTCCAACTGCAGTATTTGTGCTTTAGGTGATTGCATTTAAGATTTTTCTCTTGCCTTTCTTATCGCGCAGTGGGTGAAAAGATGGCTTTTGCTTGTATTTCCTGCCTTAGAAATCAGTATGAGTTTGGCACCGCCACCTTTGGACAAAAACCTTCCTGTAACAGAGCGACTGTGTCACCTGCAGCTGTACCTGCAGAAGAAGCCCAAGCAGGAGCGCTCACTTGTGATGTACAACTTCATTCAGCACTACAAGACCCTGGTGATGGCTTGTGGCATCTCCTTGGAAGGAAGTTTTGAGGACCCAAAGGTTTGCAGGATTAAGAGGTTTAGCTTGGGTAAAACTAGTAGTTTAGACACACCATGGGAAAGACAGCAGTACCTTCTGGGTACTGCCCTTCTCTTGTTTACCTTTGAATATGCATGCCTGTCTGGGGGTTTAGTGATGCCTAGAACAGTTTTTAGAGGGGAATTCTTCTGCTGTGTGAGAGCAGGTTCAGTGATACGGTAACACTTTCACACCTGATTGCTTGGGTGGGGAGGATGAGGTTGAATCTCTGCCTGTCCCAGTGGACAGAGCTGAACTTTTGTTTTGTTGCTGTAAGAAGCCTGGGACTGAAATGGGAGAGGTGCTTCTGGTCAGATGATTGATTCTGACAGCAGAAGCCTTTGTGAGCAGAAGATTTACCTGCTGTGCATGTGGACTGCCTTGCTACCACTCTTTTCTGAAAACAAAACAAAGTTTGCATATCGTTTCAAAAGGTTTGGGTACCATTTGTCATTCAAACTAAACACTAGAAAGAGGTAAAAGCACCTTCTTGTCCTTGTCAGGAAAAGCTCTAAATGCCTAGATATTTCTGGTGTTGATTTTTAAAGCTTGCATCACACATGGGCACAATGGCATCGTGGCAATATTGCAGTCTACAGGAAAGCAGCTAAGGTGTTCAACACAAAGACAAACACGGCTTTTCATACCGACACGTAGTTTTAGGACAAAATTGAAAAGCAGCAAGAGTAGCACCCTTCCCTGCACTGTTCCACATATTAAATGGAGCCATACTCGTATTTGTCCACTTTTGTGTTGCAGTGAACATACATGTGCACATTCACCCCCCCACCCCTGTGTGTGTGTGAGTGGTTTTCACCTTCCGCTTGCATGGCAGAGACAGTGCAGAAACCTGTGTTTCACCCTATTTTAACACAAAAAATTGAAATACAGCTATGAGCAGGGTTGCTTTGAAAGTGGTGGGAGGTACGAGGCTTACCGCGAGTAAAATTTGCCTTGCAGAGTTCTTCGTACTGGTGCTGATGTGCAAAAAACCAGGAGAGCTCAGCTTGACTAATATTTTAGATCAGCAGCAAGCTCTTATTTTTACAAAGTCAGTTTTCAGATTACTCATGTTTGATCCTGGTTTTCATATTTTATCCCCTTTGTGTTAGGTTTTAATAGCTGAAAAAACCTGAGGAACAACACTTTTAGGTGTGTGTAGTTGACAGAGGGTAAGGTTTTCAAATGTGCAGGATTAACTCTGGGTGAGAATGAGTTTTCCACAAATTGTTGCAACCTGCCTGCCAAATCAAGAAGAATCCAGCACTATAACCTTGCATCAACCCTCAGTTAAATATTTATGTTGTATTATGGCTGAAATGGAAGAAAGGTCTCACAGAGGTCTCCCTTTTCAAGGTTGCCTGTTGGCTCCTGGATTCTGGGTCTAAGGAACGCACGCTCCACAACATGGTGACTAACTTTCTCCCCAGCGAGCTACCCCTCCTGGAAGGGGTGGGCACCGGCCAAGGGGTGCAGAGCCTGGGGCTTAGTGCCAGCGGAGATTGTTCTGGGCGGTACAGAGCAGCTATCGAGTCTGTGCTTATCTTCAGTGTCATGGACAAACTCCATGATGAATTACGGAAGGAAAATCTGACAGGTAAAGATTGCTCCTCCTCTTGGGGGCAAAGATGGAGGGTAAAAGTGCTACCACTGGCTGAATGAGGGGTGGAGAGGAGATTTGGAAGGTCTTCTCTAAGTATGTTCTGTGGCAAAATGTTAATTTGTTAAAAGAAAGGAGGGAATTTCTCTTGGAAGGACATCTGCTTTGTCAAAAAAAAAAAGATTTTTAATTAAAATATAATTTCTATGTCCCAAATATCCGCTAGTTCGATTGGTTAAGTCTCTGAATCAAGCAGATCTCTACCTCCCAGGTGAGCACCCTGGCCATTCTGAGGGGACTTGCCATGTATGTGTTGCCTCCCTGAGACTTTTGTGATTCCCTAGTGAATGATCCAGTATGTTTACATTCATATTTGCTGAATGATTGTCTCTTTAAAAACAAGCAAACAAAAAAAAAACCCAACCCAAAAGCACATTCCTATTGGTGGGCTTTATGATTATTTCCCCTGTGTTGAATCCAAAGCCTAAGATTAGTGTCCAGTATCCTGAGGTCTTTTATTGCAAGTTTACTACAGCGTTTATAATCATGATAAGTAAACCTTAGAACGTTTTTAAAAGATGTGGGTGGTGGAATGGAAGCGTATCAGCTTAGAAAGCTTTACATTAAGCATGCCTCTGGTTTATAAAATGGTGATGTAGAGAGATGTGTATTTCTTAGGGGGAAAAAAAAGAGAGAGATGTTATTCTCTTAAATGCTTTTGTGTTAAAAAGTTCTGGAATTCTTCTTATCATGAAGTATTTCTTACTATGAAATATTCCAGAAACAAAAGTAGTTAAACTACATCTACATTGAAAGATTTCAGCATGTCAGAACAGTCAGGGTTTTAAAACCTGCGGATTTCCTGGTTGATTTTTATGAATCTGTTGATCTGGTTTTGATGACATGAAACTTTTTCTTGGGGTTTGTACTTACAACAGATGTATTTTCTAAAGTGGAGATGCCAAGCCACTATTGCTTGGCTCTTCTGGAGCTGAATGGCATTGGTTTTAGCACAACAGCCTATGAAACCCAGAAGCAGGTCATGCAAGCTAAACTGAGCGAGATTGAGACCAAGGCGTATCAACTGGCAGGCCACAGCTTCTCCTTGACCAGCCCTGATGATGTCGCAGAGGTAGGTGAGGGTTAGGGTGGGAGGGGGAGAGGTTTCTCGGAAGTTACCCTCAGGAGGCTTTTGCTTAGACTTAAGAAAAAAGACCTTCTTGGGCAGACTGCGTAGGAAGGGATGACAAAATGCAAATTGAGCTCTGCTCAGGCCTGACTTGTCTTCACTCTCGTTATGAGCTTGCTGCCTGCTAGGTGCTGGGTATCTTCTGCTTCTTGCTGATCTTTTTAATTGCTGCTAACTTTAGCAGAAGTAGAAATACGCATGTTGTTTGTATAGGACCTTGCCTTCTCATGTTGAGTGAGATGATCTGCCAATTAATGGCTTCAGGAATGTTTTGGTTGATTGGTGCAGGACTAGAGAAGCTTTTATGCAATACCAGTATTCTGCACGCGAGAGGTGATGTGGTATCATGTAGTCTGGGTCTAAAAATAGTTGTACTGAGTAAGTTGTATTGTAACCCTTGTCCCTGTACAGGCGTGAAAGAGGAGGAAAGACTGCTTCAAAAGTTTAGAATTAACTACTCTCTCTTTTTAAGAACCTGTATAGGAATTAGATTTTTTTAAATCCTAAAAACCAGATTTTTATGTAAATTAGCAATACTGTTATTCCTGAAGAACTTTGCTATATGGTTTTTTTTTTATGTACATCACATAGAATCATAGAAATAAGTTATAATTCCTGTGCATGCTTTTTGTCCCATTTATTTCTTTTCTATAAACTAATTTCTTGCTGAGGGGGTTATACTTTATGTGGAAATAATCAAAATTTGCAAGCAGCCATCACTGAAAGAAGTTCCACAGAAGTATTCCTCGTGCTAAGTGTGGTCTGAGTTAGAACTCCTGAAATACTGCAGAGCTCCAATTGTACTCTGCTTTGTGCAAAAGGGGACGGGAAGTTTTTCCTGAAGTGCTGTCCTCTGAACTACAGATGCTTGTTTCTCATGTGGAAATTTTGGTAGGAATTGTGTCAAGTGTTTTACATGGGTTAGTAGAACTTTACCCTTCTAATTTCATGTCAGTAAGACTTCTGCGTGGCCTAAACGTGCGAGAGACAAGCTTCTGCTCCCTTCTGCCAGCTGTGAAGGGAAACACAATAGCTGCCTAACCTCTGCTACGTACAAACACAGAATGAAAAACGAACGACTGCGTTCTGTCGCCAAGGGAGCATATACCTCATTTTCCATTTCTTGGCAGTCTGTTAGAAAAACTGATGTTCTACAGGAGGTATTTGTGACCACCTCCTCCTGTGCCCTCCGTGTTGCTCCGAAGCCCACTCCTGCTAACACTTCTTTTTTTCACCAGTGTTCTTCCCCCTCTTAGTCAGCTTAACTCCACGTTTCGTTACAGTTGACTGTCAGCAGTCACCTCACTTACTGGATGGAGTTAATTACCTCTTTGAAAAACACACCTCTGAACTCAAACTCACAGTGTGGAGAAAATGAGTTTTTAGCTTGCATTTTGTGGTTAATTAAAATAATGAAAAATGACTTTGATAGCAGACATCTTTAATCAGCTTTTTAATTACCTGAAGCATCTGCACTGTCCTTTGGTTGGAACAAGCTGTTTAAGTGCTCCGTTGCTTTTTGTTTTCTCCTGGGATTAGCATGTAGAAACTGATTTGAAATGCTGGCCTTCTGCAGGTTTTGTTCCTGGAGCTGAAGTTGCCGCAAAATGGAGATGGGAGAGTTCAAGGGAACAAGAAAACCCTGGGCTACACCAGAAGAGCAACTGCTAAAGGAAACAGGGTTAGGTTGAGCAGGCAGTTCAGTACAACCAAGGTACAGTGAAGTCTGGTTCTAGTCTGGAAGTGCCTGTAAAAACTCCCTCTTTACTGCAGACATCTGCTGCTTGGATACATTGGCGTTAGGTATGCTGACTTAAATGAAAGTAAATTTTAACTGCCTTTTGCTCCTTCAGTAACCACTGGAAATTCAAACTGGGTTCTGCCTTCTCTGTTAGCAGCGTTATTAGCTCCTTCTACTCTCCTAAAGCCTGAGTAGTGAAGGCACAACTGTAAATAGCAGGCTTCAATAAGAATAAATCAGGCAGATCTTGATTTCCCAAACCACATGTAAAGACCGAAATAGCACAGTAATTTTGTAAAGCCAGAAGAATTTTTCAGCGTCAGCTTGAAAGAAACTTAAACACAGTGGTGATTAAGTACAATATTTTCTCTCTCTGGTACTACCATATCTGTATTTTGTGCTTCAGAGAATCTGTCTTCAGAATGGCTGATCTGAGGGCTTATCAATTTTAGTACATCTGAAGCTTGTATGGACGTGAAGGCTGTTGACACGCTTGCCAGCTGATGAATGCAGTGGGGCTGCATGAACACCAACTGCTGCAGGCTGACGGGCGCTCTTGCCAGACAAGAGATATTAGCAGATATATACGTTCCCTGTTTTCAGGACTCATTAATCTGTGTTGTTTTCTAAGTTTCCCCTCGTTCGCTGTAGACAGTGCTCGGAAGACAAGTATTGATTTCCGAAACTCAAGTGGCAGTGAAGAAGTGAGCGCGGTGGTGATGGCAGAGCAGGGAGCAAGAAGCAAGCGAGGGTTTCCTCCTTTAGTGATGTGGAGGGATGAGGCTGCAGCTGCCTGCTGCGTACAAAAAAAATGTTATTTTGAGGAACGTTTGAATGCCGCTGTCTCTTGAAATTCTTGTTAGTCCCTTTGCATTTCTGATTTAACTGAAAGGATTTGATTGCTAGTGATCAGCTTTGTCTTTCAAGGAGCGTGGTCAAGGACTTCATTTCATGTGTTCCTAGTGTACAGATAAGAGAGAGCAGGGAGGAAAATATTCCAGAAGATGGAGGAGGCTGGGCAAGAGGAGACACCGTAGGGGACCTATGGCAAGTGATGCTTTATGTGATCATTTCAGGTGATTTACTGCCTGGTGCAGACTTAGGAGTGGTGATGAGGGTGCTGAAGTCCAAAGAGAAGCCACTGCTGCCTTGCGCCTAATAAACCTGCAGCTGTGTCTCACGGTGCTCCGATTGTCCAGGTGTAGGCAGTGTAAGCGGAGGGGAGATCAGTTTAATTTTAAGGCAGTGCCACTGGAAGCTCACTGTGGGGGAAGGAGTCGCTTTTCCTACAGAACTGCAAAAGCTTTGTTTATCAAGCTTTAAAGGTAATTGGAGTTGTGCCTTTTTCTCCCTACAAGGACGTTTTGGAGAAATTAAAGACGCTTCACCCGTTGCCAGGGCTGATACTGGAATGGAGGAGGATCAACAACGCCATTACTAAAGTGGTGTTTCCACTACAGAGGGAAAAGCGGCTGAATTCTGCACTGGGAATGGAAAGGATATATCCAGTGGCACAGACTCACACAGCTACAGGTAAAGAAACGTGCGCAAAGGCCTCACTTCTGACCAATTTTTTTTTAATTTCCTTTTTTTTGTCTGTGTATGGGCAGCTTTTGTATGGGGGAATGATAGGAAATCAAGGCTCTGCTTCAAACAAATGAAACTACTGAAATACCTATTTCACGTGGATCTGCCCTAAAAGTCTAGATATGTTAAAATAGCTTTGGTGTTCGCCTTGCACGTAAATGACCTCAGAACAGGTTCTGGATTTGGGAGTTTCTCATTAGTGATACGGAAATGCTTCCAGGGAACCATCTGAAGCCCATTAAACCCAAATTATTTTTTCTTTTCATAAATTTTCTCAGTGGTCACATCCTGTCCTGCCTTGCCCCCCTTCCCCCTGTTATTTGGAGATGCAGATGTGTCTTCAGCTGTGTTAAGTTAGAGAGACTCCTTTTGGACCCTTACTTGGTTCTGCCTTGTCTTCCTTCCCAGGTCGAATAACCTTCACAGAGCCAAATATCCAGAATGTGCCAAGAGATTTTGAGATTGAAATGCCAACTGTGATTGAAGAAAGCCCGCCCTCCCAAGCCCATGGAAACGTTAATTCCCGTGCTGTTTCTGGGGGCAGGTAGGAGGATCTTGGTAAAGCTTCTGCCTACTCTTCTGATCCTTAATGTGGTCGAGTTGTCAAATTTCTCTTTTCTGACTTCCCCTGTGACTGCTGTCATGTCAGTTTGACTTGTTACTCAGTGTTTCTCTTACAGTTTCAGGGGAATAAATACCTAAAAATAAGTGACACACGAAAGACCTAATAATACTAACAGCGTGTGGCTCCATATAGCCACTTGCTTTTTCAAATTCTCTGTGAAACCCTACAGTGAGATTAGCATTACTCTCCCAACCCTTGGATGACAACCGTGAGTGTGAAAAGTAACTAAACTGAAGTTAAGATTTGGTTTGACTTTCGAAGGGCTGCTCTGGAAAAGGATAGGCTATTGTGGAAGAAGCAGAAGAAAAGTTCATCTGTTTTATGCTGTGCAGCCCCCTGTGTAAGGGAACATGGATGACCATGCTTTTCATTCTTTGTTAGTAATTTCATTTGCGATAATGATCCTGCAGAAGCTACCAGGTAGTAGAAAAAGAGTTCTACATGTGGTTTCTGTTAACCAAATGCCCTGTTTTGATAGCATTACATGCCAGTGCCCAAAGAGAGGTGTGGAAGTCTAGTGAAATACCAAGGTGGATCTTTTAGCAGCTAGTTTGTGAGCTTTGGGGCTTCATACTTGGTGGTGGTTTTGTGTCCTTTCAGTTTTTCTTTCCATTCAGGTTCTTATCCCACAGGTGTCACCTGAGGGACTTTTGTCATCTTTTTTTTTTTTTCCCCAGAGCAAGATGTGAGAATTTTGAGAAGTTTTTTGGCCCTTCTATATGTCTTTTCCTCCCATCATGTGTCTAACAGCCTTGTGCCTTGAGCAGGTCATGGGAAAGAGAGCCCAGGAGTAGCAGGATCTTGTCCATCTCTCTTCAGGAAAAGAACCAGGCCCAGCCATGGAGGCAGAAGTGTTGCTGTGAGAAATGGTTCTGGCACTGCTCAGGCTTGCAGCAGCTTTGCAGGGTGCTTGGAGTGTGGGCTCTTCCCGGTAGACAAGTGGCCCACCGAAGCTGTGGAGTGCGTGCTGAACTTGGAGAGAGGTCTGCTGCTCAGGCTGACTTTTGAGACTACATTCCTTAGTTAAGCAGCCTCTGTGTTAGGGAAATGGGCAATCCTAAAGGCACAGAAATGACCACCGGCACAAAAGAAGCTGTCATGCAGTCTGATAGGCCTTCCAAGCTTATCTCCAAGGTGTCTTTTTACTATTACTATTGCTTCCTCTTGTTTTAAGAAGCTTCTGACCAAAAGAATGTAGCTAGACTAGATCCTGGTACAAAGCCCTTACTCATTCAACTGAATTGGGAACCTGTGCTGGACAGTTCGAGTCTCTACACTTCCCCTGTGCTGTCTGTCACCTTTATTTCTTTTGAAAAGTTACTGCTGTGATTTTTGTGCTACATTTCCTCTCCTTGATCCCCACCATCCCTGAAATGCCAAGGCAGAAGAAGAAAAGGGAATGCACAAGGGAAATAGCATGGTGTCTTTTCTGTGCTTTGCTGACACTAGTTTTGATCTCAGAGATCCCTTTTCATTCTGATAAAGAAATCGCTCAGAACCCTGACACGAACATCAAGGACGTATAAAGGCCTTTGACTGGACTTCCAGTGAAGAACCCAACAGGCTGGCTAGTAAAGTGGTGCTGATGGGAGTAGGAGGGGTGAATGGTGTCCCAGCTGTGCACTGACGGATACAACTCCGTTGCAGCTACAAGTGGCTGGGTGGGGCAGGAGAGCTAAGGAAGCCCTGAGAGGTTGCAGGGCACCTGGGTGCCACTGTATACTTCTGGCCTTCTGGAAACGAAAATCTGGTTGCTTTGAGGCATTTGTTTTTTGCTCAGTCAGTAGAGGGGAAACGTGCAGTGTTAGATGAGCACATCTGCAGGTTGCTTAGACAGGCTTACCTGTGTGTGTGCTCCGTCACGAGGCTGATGTGGGGGGAATCTTTTCTCTCTCTACCAGTTACGGGCTCGTGTAGGCTCTCTGCATTTGAGAATGGTGTTGAGAGAAGACGTGGCACATAAGGTGGGGTGTTGAATTTTTAGGATTCCTGTACAACTTCTTTGCTGTCTTTCTGGAATGCACCCATCGCAGATCTGGGGCCTCTAATCTTACCTGCTTTGGAGTGGAATTATGCAATTTCTGGACCATACCCTGAATGGACTAAGAAGATTTATCCCGCGATCCGTTCAGAATCGGTAAATCCCTTCAGGTGTATGTATGGCATCTGTCCAATTCCCTCATTGTCAAATTTAGGTGTGGATTGTCCAGGAGAGTGGAAGAGAGGCTACTGTCTCATATGTTTTCACCCATTCTTTGTTACAAAAATGATTATGCATCTTTAAGCGTTAAAGAAATTGGTGAAGAACAGCCATTCTTTGTCTCGACAGATGGAGAACGCGTTCCAGTATTTTGCCTGATGGCCTGAAGGTTGAGACTGAAGACAGATCTGAAGAAAGAGGAATACCATTTTCTGTTAGCATGAGGCATGCTTTTGTTCCTTTCCCAGGTAATGCCCAGATCCTGCTCTGTGCCAGCTAATTGCTAAGGATATAGTTAACAAAAAATCCTAGATCTGATGAGGAGTGAAGAATCAATGGCAGTACACCTCTGACCGAGTGGCCTACTTGGATAACTAATGCAGTGTTTAGCATGCCCTCACAATTACTGACATGACTGTAAAGAGCAGCGTTCAACTGGGGAAAGTATTCAGATGCTGTAGTTCAAATGTTCACATCTTCATTTCCTCTTTAAGAATACATATTTTTTATAGAGCTATAGCTGGGAATACACAAATTGAACTCACTCTGGTTCTACCCAAATGGCAGTCCTCACGGTGCCCTCCCAAGGCTGCTGGTGTGATGTCTGTGCTGATCATTCCTGTCAGGTACCAGACTTCCACACAGACGCCTGGATTGATACTTGTCTGTGTAGTTTCGATGGATTTTTAGGTGTAGGGGCTGGGTGGGAAGCAGGCAGGCCTGGGCATCAGGGAAACAGGCAAGAATTTGTCTAATCGAAACAGCGGTGGAAAGCTAAGTGCAAAAGGTGCAAGGACAGCTTCAGTCCTCCTTGGAGTGCTGTTGGAGTAATTTATGAAATAATGATTTCTGCTAACTTGTTGGCTTCAGGTGGCTTAATCTTGGCTGCTGATTACTCTCAGCTCGAACTGAGGATCCTTGCTCATTTGTCTTGCGACTGTCGACTCATTCAAGCCTTGAACGGGGGTACTGATGTCTTCAACAACATTGCAGCAGAATGGAAAATGATTGATCCTGAAGCTGTTGGAGATAGGACCAGGCAACAAGCTAAGCAGGTAATTTTTAGGAAAAAAATTCAGCAGCAGCTTTCTGGGGAGGAACATTTTCTGTTTGGCTTCGTCCATGATTGTTCAGTAGTTGCTTTGTATGTCCTCCCACTTGGAGTACGTTTCAACTGGAGCTGTCTGGGTTTTGGGGGATGAGGGTGGGGAAAGGCGGCATGATGGCTTGGACTCAGAGGTACTCTCTCAGCTTGAACGCTCGCCCTTGTTCCCATACACTTGCCTTCCAGTGAATCACATTTTCTTTTGGCTCTGCTTTTTTTGCATGGCTCACCATACGGCTGTGGTTCTTCACACTGTCCTCTGCCAGATTTGCTATGGAATCATCTATGGAATAGGAGCAAAATCTTTAGGCGAGCAGATGGGGATTGATGAAAATGAAGCTGCCAGTTACATTGAATCCTTCAAATCAAGATACACAGGTTTGGATATGGCTGTCTGGGAGCTGTGTGGTGGTTGTTTTTACTCCCTTCTCTCCATGTCTCTTGAAATCCTAAATTTGTCTCAGCCCTCTACTGCTCCTATCCCTTTTTATTCTGAAGAAGTCCAAGGCATGAACGCTGCACTTTGATACTCCATGATGTTTTACTTCACACTCTGGTTTTATTCATCTTTAGGACCTTGTTATTTGCTTATTACATTAATTAGTTTGTTGTTTTTAAATTAATTAATAACCCTTGGGGATTCATTTGAAAGCTCTTAACTTTCTGAATAAGAAACCCACTTTTCCTTATCAAAACAAATAGCTTTAAAGGATGTGCAATACAACTTTAAGCCACATTTCTCAAGATTTTTAAATATAGCCATTTCTCTCTTCTGCTCTTGTCTTCTGCTTTCATTGAGTGTTAAACTGCTTTGCATATAACCCTTCCATTTTTATCCAGCTGCTCTCCCATATTTTGTAAAACGACATTGTTGCATTTCTAAGAGGCATGTTAATTTTTAGGAAGGCTACAGAGGGAGTAGAGCTGCAATCAGAAAATGAATGGAGGGCAAATGGGAGGAGAGCGAGCTAGCTATAATCATAAAACTTAGAAATGAGCTGGAAGATTATATTTCGAAGATTCAGGGTTTGTTTCTTTAGGAGACAGATGCAGAGAAATGGTGTCCTGTTAAGAGTCTGTTTAGCCTCCAGTAATTTCTGGATAATGTCTCCTTCATGACTGTTAGAAATAACTTCCTGTTTCCTCCCTCTCTCTGCCCATGCATCCCTACAAACTCCGCAACGCACCTTATATTGTAACTTCACTCCTTATGAATACTCACTTATGTTGCCGGGCCGACGTGCTAAGTTACATACCTGATGAACTGCCTGATGCTGTCAGTCCTGATCCTGAATGGCTCCTTTTATGTTTTCTATTCTGTAACCCTTGGAAAGGAGCTGTCTGAAGTTAACCTTTTCCACTTTAGTGCAGTTGTTACCTGAACTTGCAGTGAAAGGGACTCTTCCCTGTCTCACCTTTCTTTGACCTAAGTTTCTTTTTAACACCCTCAGTGGGTTTACTCCTTCCCTTGCAAAGTGCTGGTGGGTAAGTTTCTTTCATTCTACAATCTGAAGTGACACGCTCTGAAGTCAGGCAGCCTGTGGCATCAAGGGCTCTCGCTTCTGCTTTCAACTTCTTTCCGGCTACTTGTCTTTTCAGTGCTGATCCAGGTCCTGACCTTTCCATTACGAATAATACACGTATGATCCGCTGTGCAGAATGGACTTCCTGTCTCCGCGTGCACAGCCGGATGCCCTGGCACTGTGCACCCTCTTCCACCTCAAAAGTCTTAAGTTTCCCAGCAGAGCTGAGCAGAGGCTGAAGGGGTGATCACGCGCCCTTGTCCACTGACAGGGTCTAGGAAATACGAAGAATTGCCCTTGTGCTGCTTGGGTGTCCCAGATGGCTTTCTGTGACTGCAGTGAGAACTCAATACAGAACATTAGCTGTATTAGGGAAAACTTTCTTTTCACAGGGATTCAGAAATTCTTGAGGGAGACGGTGAGGAGCTGCAGAAGAGATGGGTTTGTGCAGACCATCCTGGGAAGACGGAGATACCTGCCAGCTATCAAAGATCCAAACCCCTACAGTAAAGCTCATGTATGTTGAGTACGGTGCCTTTTTCAATTTTATTTTTTTTTAAATCTTTTCAAAGTATTAGGTTTCTTTGCACATCCCTATCTGCGGCTTTACAGGGTCTGTGAGCCATCTTGGTCGTGACCTTCCACTCTTCACTTAGTTCATTGTTCCCTCAGTTTGTCTTTGAATAACAGAGCTTTTGTCATGGTCTCCTTGACGTAAGTCTCCTGTGACTGGGTGTACAGCTGTCATCACTGTGCTAACCTCACTTCAGAACTCCCACGTTGGAACTGGAATGAGTAATTTATCAGAATAAGTGGACATGATTTTAAAAAGCCTCCACACAGTGATGTGCTTTTACTCTTCAGGCTGAGTTGCTCCCACTCAGCAGTCTTTGTACGTTAGATGCTGTCAGCACTTGAACAAGAAAGGGCATTTAAATCCTATATTTTTGGGTATTTGTTCCTTTTCTGACTTCACCTCCAAGGATAATTGCTCAAACTTGTTAGATAAATATTTACTTAATATGCGTCTTTGCACTGGTGGGTTTTTTTTTTTTCAAGGTCATTTTGGACACACCTGTCATAGGCTCTCCTTCAGTACGGGTGAATTGACACCCTGGGGAGATGTTGGCGTGTTACTGTCAGGAGGAGGCATTACACTTCTCAGTAGGAAAGCTGGATCAGGTTGTGTGGAATGAAAGGCTAGAGTGGAAGAGGGAGGAGGTGGGGAGCTTGTAATCCAAGCAGTTGAAAGGGAATCGGGAGGCTTTCAAAAAACTTTTGAGATGGCTTAATCTGAAGGATACTTCAGCATGAAGCTTTGTAGAGGCACCTTCTGTTCAACTTTGATTTGTTCTTTAAGACCATATTAAAGACCAGGTAATGAATTATCTTCGCTTTCGTTTCAGCTTCCTCATAACTTTTCACACACATTTCAGCTCTAATCAAAGACAGAAGAAACTTTGAATGCAGTTTTCTTGTCCGAAGAGGGGATTAGGACAAGAAATCCTAATTTCTTGTGTGGAAAAAAGTCATTGTGCCGTGGTGTGGTCTAGTGTGGCTGTAGTGCCACAGCTGTAATGCTCTGACAGTCAGGGTTCAGTGCAGCAGACCAGATTATTTGTCCATGAGCTCCAGCTTCTTGCCTCTGGTTATCCATTCCTGATGGTTTGAAGACAGGCACAAGTGTGCTTGGATTAACTGTGAGATTAGTCTTCAAGGCCAGGCCGGACGAGGCTTGGAGCAACCTGGTCTAGTGGAAGGTGTCCCTGCCCATGGCAGGGGGGTTGGAACTGGATGGTCTTTAAGGTCCCTTCCAACCCAAACCATTCCATGGTTCTGTGATTTTTCTGCTCCTCAGGAAACTGTTACCATGTGTATATGCTTCTACCTCTCGTGGCTTGTGACTCTTGCTGGTTATTAATATCATTCATTAATTTAAAATTCGTGGAAATACTGCTTTTTCTCAGTCACTGGGAGAAATTTTGTGTCTGAAGCTAGTCTTTGCTGTTTCTTTCAGGCAACAAACTCTTATCTGGAGGTTTTGCTATGCCCGTATTCGGCCCTGTATTTATTATTTTTAACGATGTAGATGTGGCATGCTGGAGTTGAGTTCTTTTTTTGGGTGGGTTTTGAGAACAGCTATCTCTGTTTAGGCAGAGCGACAGGCCGTGAACACAACTGTTCAGGGATCCGCTGCAGACATTGTCAAAACAGCCACTGTGAACATTCAGAGACGCCTGGAAGCTTTCTCCTCTGCGATCAAGTCCCACGGACATCTGGAGAGCTCCTTCCAGAGGGAGAAGACTGGTATGCTCGCCTCTTCCTTTGCTAGAGCAAAATTTGCAGGGTTGCTAATTTAAGAGCAAACAAAAAACCCCCACCATTAGGGCCTTTGGGGTAGGGGTGGGAGAGGTTTTATTTCCTGACAGCGGTGTGTCTGTGTTTAGTGCGGGGGGAAAAAAAGTCCTAAGGAAGGAGGGAGAATGTGTGCTCAGTGCACAAAGTGAAGCAAATGCTGAGATCAGTCAGGAGCCCCAGTGGCCCCAACGCAGGCCTTGCGGAGGTGGGCAGTGGGAGTGTGCCATGCGGTCTGTGATGCCCCCCCGGAATCGTTCGGAAGTGGGAAGGAGAAACCGAGCAGGTACTCCAGCTTTGAAGACAGTGAAAAGATAGACTGGAAAAACTCCTAGTTCCTAAAATACAATTTTTGGTTAGAATGAAGTCTGGAATTTGTTGACTGGAATTTGAGGTACAGAGGCTCCACAACACTATTATGTGAAGCACTTAGCAGCTTAAATTTCTTCTGGCTGCGGGTAGCAAAGCTGTGCTGGGTACTGCTTCCCAGAGGAGTGCTACCGTGGCTTTTTTTAGCATGACGTAGACAGTGTTTTGCTCATCAGTGGTATATTTTTAGAAAGACAACCTAGGGGATGGAGAGCTATATTTTTTTGATAGTTCATATGCTGAAACATGAAGCTGACTTAACACGAAGGATATGATTTGTAGGACTGGGAAGGAAAACTAAATAATTAATTGCTGAATCTCTAAAAATATATGAGGGAGTCTTATTTTAGAGAGACAAGATTCAGAGGTCTGCTATGAGTAGAAGGCATGTGGTTGGCAGAACTTCACACCCCCTCCAGGAGCAGCAGCGACCAACCCTTGGCCAACGTATCTGTAGGGAGGCGAGTAGATGCGTTTGTGTCAGCTTTCCCTCTTCCCATGCTAGCGGTTTCAGGAACTGGAATGAATTCCCTTTCAGCCATCGGAGAAGCATCCCGCATCATGTGGCGGTTTCAACATGGCCGCTTCCGCGTGAGGCGCTGGTGATGCTGTGAGACCCTTCCTGTAGTTGTGAACTGGACTCCCCTCTTGGCTAACCCGAGAAATAAAGAACTTCTGAGTTGGTGTATGTGAGGTTGTGGGGGCTTGTTGGTTCTTTTTTTTTGGAAAAAAGCTTTTACCGTCGGACTGCGTTCTGTTTTGTTTTTGTCAGGCAAGGCCTACCTGGATGCTGGTTTTGTCAGCTACTTGTTTATTCAAAAAACTACTCTTTTGGGTTTTTAATCAGGAGTAGTAGCTCTGGTTTTGGATAGCTGCACTCGGGAAGAGGCTTACTGCTTTTTTAGACTAGCCATTAAGATGATTTGGGAAGAAAAGCAGAACCCTAATTCATTGCCAGAGAGAATGTAGTAAAGCGACTTCTGATGGATCTTGATGTGATTTTGCTTAAAATTTACTTTTAAAACAGATGGTTCAGGCGATGCAACTGTCTCTTGTTTCTGTTCTGATTCATATCATTATAATGTGAGGCTGAAATGTTTATACCTAAAATGCTTTTCATAACCATTTTTCCCTCATTAGCTGCACAAATATTGATAGAATAGTAATGCTTTGTGGTTTTATCTGTAGGCATGGGCTTTTTCATTTTCAAGTTCCTTTTTCTCAGCATTAGGAATGTATGAAGGTCATTTAATTACAGGAAACGGGCCTTTGTGTGATGGTGTCTAACGAACTGTACTCTTCACCGGTGTAGGAAGGCTAACGAGGAAGAGAAACAGAGGGCTGTTACATCCCATCAGCGGAGGTTTCTTTATCCTCCAGCTCCACGACGAGCTCCTCTACGAAGTTGCGGAGGACGATGTCATCCAGGTACAGCCGTGCCGTTGCCTTTTAGCTATATACCACATTACGGTGTTTCAAAGTCTTCCTGCTGGGGGCTCAGCTGCTCTTCCCCGGATCCTCTATCGCTGTGTGCTAAAAAGTCTGCGAAAACAACGTTAAACTGGATGAAAAATGATGTTTGTATTATCGATCCCTTTATTTTTGGACTCGGATTCATGCTTCCAATGTGTGCTTTGCCACTTATGACAGCGCTACCTACAACTTCTCTGCAAGACTTGATGAGCGAAGTAGCTCTGTAGGGAAGTGTTTTTCCTCGTTTGGATGTATTTTTGCCTCCCTGTTCACACTCGTATCTTCTAGTGCCTAATGCAGAACATGTGTTGTTACAGCTGCGGTTTGTACTCTGCATAGGGAAAGGAGGATTCCTTGCTTTTGATGCTTGTTTCCTCACTCCCTACCTACCTGTCTTTGCGGTAGGAGTGTTGTGGTGCTGGTAAGCAGCGTGGTAGGTATAAGAAGTGTGCTGTGTGGCCTTGCAGCACCTTTCATGTGTTTTATGAGTCTCTGCGTGGGCTCTTCCACCGCGTAGGTGCTCCTGTGCCCGGGTGGAGCGGCGTCTGTGCGACAGCTTGCAGTAGCAAGCGCTTTAACCCTGTGCTGGCAGCTCAGTGTCTTCCCAAGTCCTGAGCACAAGTGCAGGAAGGCTCCCAGGGCCCGCTTCCGTGGCGCGGGGATGTCTCTCTCCCACTGCTGCTGTGCGCGTACACGTCTTCAGCGACAAACAGGCTGTTTCCTGACGGCAGGCGGTAACTCTGTGTCTGGGAGAGCTTTCTGTAGGTCTGACTGGCCAGAGCGTTTGTTAAAAAAATTAAGCCTTTTGTTCTTAATGAAATTTCTCTTGGATCTCAGCTCAAGTTTCTGTTCGTTTGGCCAGCTCTGTTCAGACGTCTGCGGCTTCATTCCAGGCAGGCTGTTTTAGAGATGAAAAGGCTCCTAATTTCCTTTCTGTAGAAAACTGAAATCCCTCGAGTATAGACTTTTACTTCTTTAGATACTGACTCCAAGTTATCACGGTGTCCCAAGAACTGGGACCAAGCGTGTGGCTTTGCTTATTATTTATTGTGTTCTGTTTTTTCATTAAGAATTCAAGAGAAATTATGGCCAGCTTTTGGAACTGCCTTTAGATAGATTTTTGTCCATAGATTTTCTGGGCAGTCACTTAAAACAGCATAGGTACACAAGGCATGCTTCCTAGACTCAGACTTTCCTTGTGTGTGCCAGATTTGCTTGTTTTCCAAGGCTTTCTGTCTAGCTGGGACAACAGGGCACTTCTTACCCTTTTGATTGTTTCTGAACCCAGAAAGGATTTTTTTTTTGGTGATAATATTGCCTGCTGTCCTTACAGATGCACTATTGTGTTTTGCCTTTGGTACATTGGAGTTTTCAGAACAGACTCCACGAAACTGGGACAAGTTGCCCAGAGAAGCTGTGGATGCCCCATCCCTGGAAGTGTCCAAGGCCAGGCTGGATGAGGCTTGGAGCAACCTGGTCTAGTGGAAGGTGTCCCTGCCCATGGCAGGGGGGTTGGAACTGGATGGTCCTTAAGGTCCCTTCCAACCCAAACCATTCTGTGATTCTGTGATGTGAAACACTTAGAATTATGCAGCTGGGTGGAAGAGGAGGCTCTGCAGAATGCTCAAGTGTTTAATGTTTAATCTTGCCTCTTCTCTAAGCAGCCTTAAGCAGTGCAGAACCCGTCACAGGTCTGTGCTGCGTCAAGCGTTACTGGCTTCACGCACTTTCTCCATTCGTAAGCCCTAATCAGGATTAACGTGGTTGGATGCATTCCCATCTGTGTTCAGTCAGTGCAGGTAAATGCAGGAGAGGATTCCAGGTGTCCGGCCACTCCAGCTATCAACAGAAAACCAGCACTGGGCTTAGGTGTGCATCTGATCTGTAGCATTTTCTTGCAGGTCGCTCAGATTGTCAAGCACGAGATGGAAAACGCCATCAAACTCTTGGTGAAACTGAGTGTTAAAGTGAAAGTTGGACCCAGCTGGGGAGACCTGCAGGACCTGGAGCTCTGAGGTGAAACGCGGCTTTCGCACCCGTGGCTAGGCGGAAGGTGCCACAGAGCAGGCAGGGCGAGGGCCCGTGACAGACGCGCGTGCAGCCTGATCCTCCCGTGTCTACAGACGTCGTGGTGAGCTGCCTTCTGAAACGCGTGGTGGGAGCTGGTATGAGTTCACCCAGCCAAACTCTTCACGGGTCGTGCAGCGCGCTGAGGCGTGTTTATGCAACTGCGGCAGTGTTAATTGCTAAAAGCATGATATTTAAATTAATTCTGTTAAAATATGCTTGATCTTGTAATTTAAAACAAAACCCCAAAGCCTAATGTTTTTATTACATATGAAACGAGCTGGATTATTTGATTAAAACAAGGCACAAAGATAACTTGGCAGATCTTGTGTGTAATTGCGTGTAGGACAGAAAGTTACTGTGTTGGCACTTAATGTTGAGTTTTACAGGCCTCTACTAGGATCATTTTGTACTGAATTCTGCTGATGATATTCAGGTGCCAGAATGGCTTTACGGCTGGCTGGATCGCTCACTGAGCAGCTGCGTGGCATTCACAGCGGGTGGAACCCGTGCTCGGTTGGCCTCCGACTTCCAGGGGAAAGCATCACGGCTACTGGCTGCCGTAATTCGTCCTGCTGCTACCGTGCAAGCTGGCCTTCAGGGGGATGTTGTTCAGACTCTTTTATAGTTAAACATTCATTTTTAAAGAATGAAACCCAATTTCTCGGTTGGAAACAACAGTTTGTATGGCTGTGAAGAGCAAAAGTGAATCGGTCTGGCCAGCTGAAGTGACAGACTTGCCGGTGCTTGAGTCTGGGGTGTTGTTGAATGGGGGTGAACCTGGGGGTGAACCTCATCACGCAGAGGCCCGTCTCTCGGGGAAGCCTCAAACCTGCTTGTTGGCAGCCTTGCTGAAAACTGCTGGGATTTCCCTCGCACTTTGGCTCCGTCCCTTGGATCAGGCAGGAAGTTTTTCTGGGAGTTTGGGCTTGTCTTGGTCCTGAGGGTGACTCGGGTCACCCGCCGGGATCGGGTGTTTCAGAAGAGGGGACAAGGAAGGAGCTCACAGGGAATTACTCTGCCGCTGTTTGGCGTTACTCTCCTTGCTAATACCTTCTGGTCTGGCTAAGCCTCACATGGTTTCATTTCCCTTCCAGATGGCTGCAATGGTTATACAAATTCAGCTGGTTTTGTTAACTTCATACAATGCCTGACCTTGGATTCTGTCATTTCCGTCGGGCATGTGACACAAAAGGGAGGACAGGTGCCTCCCGTCGTCTTCTGTATGCCTCTAATTATGTTACCAAGTCGTTCTTCCCCAGCACCTCCCTAATGTAAGCAATCTCCATCTTCCCATTCCTGCCTCCTGTGAGAAACCGTCAAGCCCCTAATTATTCTTTCACTTCGGAGCTGCCGCCAGATCCTTTGTCAGAAGCGTGCTTTTGAAGTTGCCTTGATTGGCTCCGATCCCGGAGGACGCGTGCTTGGCCTGCAGCAGCCCGACAGCGCACCCGAGCTCGTTAACGTCAAACGCGGCGCTTCTGGCGTGGCCGTTATCCTCATGTCAGCAGCACCTGGCGCCGAGGTTTCAGGAACAAGGTGAGTTTTAAAAGACGTTAATGGGGCCTGCGTGCAAAAGGCCGTGTCCTGGCCTCTGATCCACCGCCTGCCTGTTGTGCCGCAAACCGCAGGCGGGTTATCAGGTCACAGCCCCAGGCCGGGGTGCCGTGACTGCCCTTCTCGGGGCCGATCGGCCTTCATTCCTCTTCTGTGCTTCACCTCACGCTGAGGCTTTTTGTGTCCATCCTGCCTGCTCTGCGCTGCCGGTTTCCACCACGTCTGTCACCTGATGGCTGAGCTCTTTATCCACAGCGTTCAGCTGATAGACAGTTGTTTCTTTTCTTAGCTTGTTAAAGCTTTTGTTGTCAACAGATCTGAGCCCCGGCACCCTGGCGTGTGACCATTTGTGCGCGGCCTGTGAAGATGTTGGGTCGGACTGGCTGCCAATTCCCAGTGATTTCCTGTTCCCCGGTGTCATGCGGTGACACACCTGCGCTATATTTCAGGCCTCGCTGGAGCTGCTGTAGCTGGAGTTGCTTATTCTTTAGCACGATATAATATTTTCCTCCCCAGTACTGTCTTTAGAATTTCGGAAGGATGGATCTCACATGTAATTCCCACCCAACAAGCTCCCTGGATAGGGGTGATGCTAAACAATAAGGGGATTGACACAGAACTCCACTTATTTTGCTGAACAAACTCAATGAGTTAATTTTAATTAAGCTGTAATTTGGAGGAAATGAGGAGATGAAAGGTGGCCATGGCTCTGTGAGCGAAGTATCTGTGGTGTTTGAGTCACGATTTCCCAGGATATGGAGAAGGCAGAGGTGCTCAATGGTATTTTTGCCTCGCTCTTCCCTGGCAAGGGCACAAGCCCTAACC